ATTTGGTTTTATGTTGGGGTAAGGACACGGGAGTAGTTACCCTTTCTGAAATTAATCGTAAGGCCATCCATCTTAATCGGGCATTGCGTTTCTATTTCCGTGTCCTATTTAGGTGGCCGTACAAATTATCGTTACCTTTCTTACTTCTATCGTAGTAGTTGAATAGAAGTGTTTCCTTTTTGCTGAAAATCCAGTCATTTCCTAAGTCAACTACTGCTTATGATAGATGGACTTGAAAAGAGGACCTACCTATACTTCTATTTGACATATGTACGTGGAACTTGGGGAAAGTTGATTACTCTAGCTCACGCCACGTACTGAGGTTAAAAAGAAGAAGAAAAAAGAAAAACAGGAGGGAGGATCGAACGTGCAAGGTACAGGTTCATTTGACCAAGATCTCTAAGACGTTAAGAAGTCTATTTTAAAAGAAAATATCAAAAATAAAACGAGAAAAACGTATGCGACTCCACGGCTAACGATTTTTCAGTGTGGATTATCCCTAGATCTATTTCTGCAATTTCAGATAGCCGTGCCGGTCCGAACAGTTTGGACAAATTTACTAAGCACTTTAAATCGACTGGGAAGAGTATACTCCAATGGTTCCATTTCCCCAGATACTACCTTATACCTAAAGAGTTTGTAAACTGAACGTTCGTAAAACATCGGAATTTAAACTGCCCAGTGTTTTATCTCCAACGTGTATGATTGTCATTCAGCTGACTTCGAGTGTGTGGTTTTGTCGCAAACGAACAGGGTTAATATTTCATTCTGCCCATTATTTCCATTTCATTTTAGACCCATTATCTACTTCTTTACGATACGCTGCATCTTTTGGCCGTTGGTATTTCGAGGTTCATTTCCACAACCTCCCTTGCAATCCAACCTCCCTCGGGTCTGTCCTGCAGCTCAGGAGACACATGGAGCCAGGGAACGACTATTCTAGAGAGTATTAAATCGGTCTGTTAATCTTTACAGTGTTTTTTACCTTACTTTTGACAAATATCAAGGTCTTACTCCACATGTTCTTGGTCTCCGGTAAAGGTGGGTCCCGATGATGTCAATGGTTTCACCGGACGCATTCTATTTGATGAGCATGGTCGTCGAAAGGGCGTAAATATCAGCGTTCTGGAGATAAATCGTGAGGGTTTTCAAGAGGTAACCTCTTTACTCTATTTTAGGTTGTTTCATTCTCGCAGTTTCCCTTGCAAATGGCTTGAATGACATTAAATATTGCAATTTCAAAAGGTTTTACATTTTTCAAATTTGCGAAAATTCCCATCGAAAATTTCAGAAGATAAATTTGCGAACATACTTGTGTTTTCGATAAATTCTCGTCGGGCCTTTACATTTATACGGTAATGAAAAAATAAAATATGCTGGTTGGTGGACAGACGTAGTGTTATTGTTGTCACGGCCGGTGGGGGGGGGATTGGGGTGGGGGAGAGTTGGGGAAGTTGCGGTCAGAATGTCAATCTCTAGACGGTCCGGCGTCCAAGACAGGTGATAAGGTGATAAAGGCGCAAACAGTTCCATTCTAGCGCACTTGGTAGACTCAAACCATCGCATGGAGGCCAAAGAGGCCTCCCAAGTGATCTACAAGGTGCTTTCAAGCTATTCAAAATTCCTCGGACAGCGTCTGTTGGCGACGGCATAGACGGCGCCCATCAGGCTACGCCGACCGGTGCTGTGCGCCGCAGTTGCCATGGGCGAAACTAGCTAACGCGACCGCCCATGGCGGACCACTGGCCTCGGAAACGGGCCCCCGCAGAGACGAACATGGTTTTACATTACTGAACTTGGCGAGAGAACATTTTTAAATGGCTGCTCCAGGTACCTCCGTTTTTGTCAGATTCACATGTCGTTGTATGGTCATTTGTGAAGACCTTCTACTGCTGCCTCAGCATAGAATGCAATCACGTTTAGTCTTCTAGGAGTAACAGTCTAGTATAGGGCTCACTGCGAAAAATAAATCCTCAGAATTCTGTACTACGGGACCAATAGTAATAGGAGTTTTACGGGTTGGATAGAAGAGAAAATAAAATAGCTATATCAAATAAAAGCAAGAAATAGCAGATAAGAATACTATAGAAGCTAATATAAAGCAACGAAAAACGTGCGATAATTGAAAAATAAATCTTAATAAAAAACAATTCAATTCATTAAATTTATTAATTAAACGTATTACCAAATTAGTAAACTAAAGATAAAAAATAAATTACCATTACAGTCGATCACCCATTACAGAATTCTGGGAGTTTTGTTTCCGTAGTGACCACTATACCCTGTTACCCTGTTGGGCTCAGAAAATCCGCTCCCAAAATCCCCTCTTAAACCGCATTCTATGTCAACTTGATTTCTCACATCTGTTTTTTGACCACAGAGTATTTTACTCATATCTTTACGTTTGGACACCAAGGCTGCCTAAATGCTTCCAGTGAGACCAGACGAATTATTTTCATACCTTTGAATACATTTCTTTTTTTCAGTTTGGCTACTGGAACGAGATCGATGAATTCGTGGTCACAAAAAAGTTTGCTGAAACGCAGGCTGAAATACAAAAAGAACTAAAGGGCCAGACTCTCAGAGTGACAACGCTTGAGGTAAATAAGGGGAAGGGTGTTCGGCTGTCTGTCTTTTTTACCTTCTTCTTAAACGGGCATGCGGCTGTTTATCATTCTAACCTCCTCCAGATAAGACCATTCCACAATTTTAGACATTTTTATGGGTTATTTGAATATGTATCTTTGCCTGAAAAGCATGCGAGCACTCTTGGCAGTCTCATCTAAGGGCTTCTGCAATTTGAATGTCCTAGTGAGGTCAAATCTGTAATGCGAAATAAATTATCTGTATTATTACAGGATACACCATTCATAATGTACAAGGGTAACCTAACGGCCACCGGCGAGAAATCAGTGGATCCCAAGGACTGGCATGGCTTCTGCATAGACCTGCTAAATGAATGTGCCGCAATGCTGCATTTCAACTATACCGTCCATCCGGCCGCCGATGGTAGCTACGGCAGGGCTCAAATAATTGACGGCGTTGAAATTTGGGATGGCATAATCGGCGATCTCCAGTTCAAGGTACTGATTTTAAAATTACTTTTATTTTTCTGTTTATTCTTTTGTGAAACAGAATATTTAAAAACATGTGTATAATTTAGCCGCCGCCTACTAAGTACCAACTCGCTCAAACTAGCACTGTCGTTGGTGTACAGACAGAGTCAGTGGTAGACTGCAACGCCTTTTTGTGTCCCTTTTTAGTTCTGCCAGTCGCAATCCTGACGAATTCAGTCCGTGTTAAGGCTAAGACGGTTAACCCTAACAGTTACAATCATTCAGGCCCTGGTTCCTTAGGATATTGGAGAGAAGACGGTGGAAAGGCGAGAGTAGACGGAACATTATATTGTTTACAGAGTTATGGAGAAGTCGCCAATCGGTCTTGCAAGGCGTCCGACCGTGAGGCCGGCGTCGTTACGACCGCCGCGCG